GTCTGTGTATGATTCTCACCTCATTCTATCATCACACACATTTGCGATTGTTTGTCATTCATCAGCAGATCGATAATCATATGGACTGGTAATGTGACGAGTATCATCACGTCTGGGCTCATTGCATGGCCCAACTTTGTCGTTTCTTCTGTAAAACGAGGAAAAATACGAAAAACATCAGGTTCATAGATTAGGTCCTGCCGTATCAGGGAGAGACATTAAAAGAACAGAAAAGAAAAAGTTTTTATCCCATGAAGAAGCATTCGCAATTTCGCACCAAGCACAATGCATATTTCGGCGATAATTTCGCACCAAATTGGATACATATTTCAATCAGGCTGTGCAGGCCAGGGTTGCTAGTCTTTTTTGGTTTGACGATCCGCTACAGTTGGTAATGGTTGTTTTTTTGAAAAAAAGCCTGCAAGTGATCATACAAGAAAGAGGAGGGCAACTGTGCAGTTGTGTAATTTCTGGCCAATCATCATTACTTGGCGTGCATCCGATTGTGATGTACCGTTTATTACTGTTTAAGATATTGTACCCTTTCTGTTCCTCCGCTCCGCATCCAGGACTGATCATTGTTTCCTTGTAGGAGAACGTTCAGCTCCACATATTCTCATTTCAACAGGGATGTACTCAAGACTTTACAATTTGTCATTCTGCTTAAATCATACTTCCTGAAAGTGCGGCCATGCACACACCGGTACTCGCTGGGATGAACCAGCCTGCCGTGCATGGACAAATGTATGCAAAGCAAACCATCGTGGCACTGTAGCAATGGCTGGCATGTGCATGGCCGAACTGTTTGGAAGTACTGGTGGTTTCAATTCTTGAGTAAACAAAGAAAACAAATGGGTCAGTTGCACATCTACCATGCCAACGGGAATCCTAAACCGGTAACAGGGAACTGTCAGGCAGATCTTGACAGTTACGCAGTACGTACCCAAATATAGGATTCTCCAACCTGTTCCATGACCAAAAGAGGACCTTTCCATCGGCTCCAAGCGTCACAATCTGCAAACAACACACCAACACTGTACTAAATCACTGGTTGACCCAATCTTTGTGACTTGCTTGTGGTTGGCCCAATTTCCTCAACTGCACAGTCTGTCCAAGAGCAAACACTTCCGTTCAATTTCTAATGATTCTGTGATTCTTTTAGCTCTGCACAACCTGCAGGCTCACACCAGGCATGGACACTTGAAGTCAACAGTGAGGCCACAAGGTCTTCCAGTTGCGGCAAGGGCCGGTAGGCCCTAAGCTCGGGCCTAGAAGGAGAATGGCCCAACCGATGTTGGAAAGGCTGGGCCAGGCCAACTCAGAGTACTGGCTATGCCGTCTGGATACTGGTAGGCCACGGATGCTTCCAGAAGGCACTGGAAGGCAGAGCCTACAGGTCCAGGTCAGATGCTGGCCTCCACATCTACAGAGAGGCGGAGGCAGCTCCAGGCATATGGAAGCAGGCGCTTCCAGCAGGCTGCTTGGCACTCACTGAAAGCTGTGCCAGTGGCAGGGAGAAGAGTGAACAATCAGCCAGCACTGGCCATTGCTGGGAGGAAGGATGACAGCACCAGCCTCCGGGGGGCTCCTAGGGGAGATACTGGGAGGAAGAGTAGAACTGTGGAGGAAGCAGGAGAAGGCAGGCGACACACCTGGTGGTCACCAAGGGGAGCTCCAGTGTTGTACATCTCCAATCCGGCATTGGTGGGGACAGCATTCTATTCTGTGGCATTGTACATTCTCATAGCGTAGGCCAAGGTAGATGTGCAGATTAGGTGATCACCTTCCCCTGGTGGGAGGCTTTCATCATTAAGATACTTCAACATTTGTCAATTCCTGTGTAAACGAGACCACTGGTTTGTCAATTTTGCGAATTCCCATGCCACCATGCTTACCAACTGGCGAGAAAAGCCACGAGGTGTCATTCGCTGTTGCCAACTGGCTAGAAATGCCAGGGCTTTCATCATTAAGATACTTCAACATTTGTCAATTCCTGTGTAAACGAGACCACTGGTTTGTCAATTTTGCGAATTCCCATGCCACCATGCTTACCAACTGGCGAGAAAAGCCACGAGGTGTCATTCGCTGTTGCCAACTGGCTAGAAATGCCATGCAGGGTCATTCGCTGTTGAAAGGCACTGTGAACAGCATCTCACCAGTGCTCATCAGCTAGGATTGAGAGCGTTGTGAACAGCATCATAATGAGACTAATTAGTTGTTTACGAACAATAATCCATGCGTGATTATTAGCTGAGTCGTCAATCGGTCAAGTAGCCTGTAGTTGCGAAGAGGTCGGGGGTTAGTCAAGGTGGTATCGGGCACAAATCTTATATCTTGGGGTTGACACAGATACTTTACACCCTCTGGGTCATATGGAAGGAGAGATGCAGCAGAACGATCGAGAGAGTATCCAACTCACGCGAGTTGATCTGGGCGGAGATGAAGACAATGATTCAGGCAGAAATTCTCTGCAGATGGCGGAGGATTAAACAGTCATGGTCGGAAGACGAGGAACAACGCAAGAAGGTCAGACGGATTTTCAGTAAGGTCTGGTTGGTAGACTGCAAAGTGGCTGACTTGAGGGACGACCACATTTGATGGAAGGATTGGCACAACTCAAGTGCAGGAGGAAGAGAGGGGCAGCAGAGAACGGTGCAGGGACAAGGCTCCCCCGTTTCAGAACTTTAAAGAGGAAGCTCCCAGCGTGTGCCATCACTTCCGTGGAGCCGCAGCTAGAGACTGTGATAGGCCTAGGAAAGGCTGAAGTACGCAAGGAGAGGTGTCAAGTATCACCTCAAAGTGAGCGCAGGGTTTAGGGTTTAGGCTTTTTCAGTAGAAGTCAAAGAAAGGGGGAGGGTTAACGGGACAGGGGTTTTCAGTAACTCAAGGACAGTGAGGATGAGGGGGTTAGCATGGGCGCACAGAAGTAATGGGCGAGCTCCTTCTAGTAGTAACAGTAATATCTGGCAGAGCTGATGTGCAGGTCTGAGAGGAGGGAGCGTGTCAAGGCAAGCTGACAGTCAATCCTCCCCCAACGGGGGAGCAATCAATGCTGATCAGGGGTCCTCCGGCCGAATGGGAGGAAGCGTGAGTCTTCCCTTTGTGATGTATTATATGTTGACTTGCCAGTGGAATAGGAACCGGACTGACGCTCCCCAGAATAGAAGGAGTCGGGACCACAAAATAAGGAAGAGATGTAACGTGACACAGCGGGAGACTAAAATCAGATAGGATATGAGCAGACCAGCTACAAAATAATAATGTGACTCAGATCGGGGAGAGGTCCAGAGATAGAAGAACCTCCCGGCTGCAATCATACACAGACAATTCTGACAAAATACAAGGTGGAAGAAGAAGAAGACGAAGACGAAAGAAGAAGAAAGGAGGGGAAGGAGAAGGTGAAGAAGGTGGTGAAGAAGGAGGAGGAGGGAGGAGGAAGAGGAGGAGGAGAAGAAGAAGAAGAAGAAGAAGAAGAAGAAGAAGAAGAAGAAGAAGAAGAAGAAGAAGCAAGAAGAAGAAGAAGAAGAAGAAGAAGAAGAAGGGATAACCACCGTATTTGTACCGGAACAAACATTCTTCTCTCTATAAAATAGGGACATGTTTGAGCCCGCGTCATTGATCGAGCGCTAATGCAACCAAGGAAGCGCTAACACAACCCTCGTGGTGAGCGGAGCCGCGGGGCAACTCCTCCGCTAGCGCCGGAAACCTACCATTTTGAATTTTCAAAGAAGTGCGCCTCGTGCCGTCGCGCGTTCTGCCACCATCACCAAGGAGAAAGACGGGGAGAGTGTTATTCAGTGGGTTCACACTATAGCCTGCACAGCCACGCCCACGGGGGCGGCACTGGACCCTTGCGCAGGAATAGGAAAGGAGCACAAGAGGGGGGAGGAACACGAAGGGTTGGACAGCGCGGCTGAAGGGAGGAAGGGAGGTCTGGACAAAAGAGAGAAAGCGGGGGGAAAGGCGAGGACAAGCAACGACAGGAAACACAATCATTGCCAAAGACAAATGTGAGACGAGAGATTTGCGAAGAACGACCCAAAGGGAGAAAGAGACAAGCAGGACTAGCGAATTGGAAGGTAACCTCAAAGAATCCAGCGACCGACCAAATGAGGTAAGTGTTACATGCTGAGAGCCTCCACATGGGCCCCTCACGGGACCCGAGGTTGGATAAGGGCCCCCAGGTCGCGTCACCGCAACCTGGAGGCCCTACGGCCATTTTACTTAGGCCTGCATCGGAAAGACTTCAACTTTAAGATGATTTCTTATTTATTTATTTACTGATGTGTTTTTACTAATGTGCTGTTGTCCGTTTTGTGGCCAGGTACACAGTTAGGACCAGGGCCGGAATCAGGCCCAGAGGCTGAGCC